TTTTAATAAATGTATTTATTTTTGGCTGCGCTGGGTCTTTGTTGCTGCGCATGGGCTCTATCTAGTTGCGGTGAGCAGGGGCTACTCTGTTGCGGTGCGTGGGCTTCTCTTGTTGCGGAACATGGGCTCTAGGCACGCAGGCTTCAGTAGTTGTGGCATGCAGGCTCAGTAGTTGTGGCACACGGGCTTAGTTGCTCCGCGGCATGTGGGATCTTCCCTGAACAGGGCTCGAACCCGTGTCCCCTGCATTGGCAGGCGGATTCTTAACCACTGCTATGAATTTTAATATCTTCTGTAATCTGGCCCCATCCAACCTCCTTGACCTCATTGCTAACCATTTCCCGACATGGGCATTTAGCTCCTCGCTGTGCTTAGAACAATGCCGAGTACATAGTAAGTGTTCAGTAAATGCACACTTCTTGATGGATTTTTAAAGGTAAAAACAAGATATTCCCATAGGCTATCAATGAGATACAACTTTGAGGCTATTTTAAAATATATTTCTAAGACAATTGGGACAAGTTGAACTTTGACTAAATGTTTGATATTAAGAGATTACTGTTACTATTTTTTCTTTCTTTTTTAAAAAAATTGAGGTATAGTTGATGTACAGTATTATATAACTTTTTCAGGTGTACACCATAGTGATTCACAATATTTAAAGGTTATATTCCATTTATAGTTATTATAAGATATTGGCTATATTTCCGTGTAGCTTATTTATTTTATACATAGTAGTTGGTACCTCTATTGTTATTATTTTTAGGTGTGATAATGGTATTGTGTTTACATTTTAAAAATCGTTGTATTTTGGACTGAACTGTGTTCCCCCCCAAATCCCTGCCTTGAAGCCTTAACTTCCATGAGAAGATAGGGCATTTAAGGAGGTAATTACGATCAAATGAAGTCATAAGGATGGGGTCCTAGTTCAGTGGGACTGGTGTCCTTATAAGAAGAGGAAGAGACACCAGAAATGCACAGAGGAAAGGCCATGTGAAGACACAGTGAGAAGGAGGTCGTCTGCCAGCCAGGGAGAGAGGTCCCACCAGAAACCAACCTGTCGGCATCTTGATCTTAGACTTCCAGCCTCCAGGACAGTAAGAAAATGAGTTTCTGTTTAAGCCACCCAGTCTGTGGTATTCTGTTGCAGCAGCCTGAGCAGACTAATATACCTGTTTTTAAGATATCTACCTATCTATCTATCTACCTATCTATCTATCTACCTACCTACCTACCTATCATCTGTCTAAATGATGTGATGTCTGGGATTTGCTTTAAAATGCTTGTTGGAGTAGATGGTGATAGATGAGACATCATTGATAACTCTTAAACCTGAGGGATGGATATTTGGGAGTTAATTATACTGTTCTTTCTACTTCTGTTTATCTTTAGAGATTTTATTTTAAAAGTTTTTAAGTTTTGGGGCTTCCCTGGTGGTGCAGTGGTTGAGAGTCCGCCTGCCGATGCAGGCGACACGGGTTCGTGCCCTGGTCCGGGAAGATCCCACATGCCGCGGAGCGGCTGGGCCCGTGAGCCATGGCCACTGAGCCTGCGCGTCCGGAGCCTGTGCTCCGCAACGGGAGAGGCCACAACAGTGAGAGGCCCGCGTACCACAAAAAAAAAAAAAAAAAAGTTTTTAAGTTTTGGCAAAAATGAAAAGCTAGGGCTTCCCTGGTGGCACAGTGGTTGAGAGTCCACCTGCCGATGCAGGGGACACAGATTCGTGCCCCGGTCCAGGAAGATCCCACATGCCGCGGAGCAGCTGGGCCCGTGAGCCATGGCCGGTGAGCCTGCACGTCCGGAGCCTGGGCTCCGCAGCGGGAGAGGCCACAGCAGTGAGAGGCCCGCATACCGCAAAAAAAAAAAAAAAACTAAAAATAGAACTACCATATGATCCAGCAATCCCACTCTTGGGCATATACCCAGACAAAACTATAATTTGAAATGATACATGCACCCCTATGTTCATAGCAGCACTATTCACAATAGCCAAGACATGGAAACAACTTAAATGTCCATCAGTAGATGACAGATAAAGAAGATGTGGTACATATATACAATGGAATACTACTCAGCCATAAAAAAAGAATGAAATAATGCCATTTGCAGCAACATGGATACAACTAGAGATTATCATACTAACTGAAGTAAATCAGAAAGAGAAAGACAAATACCATATGATATCACTTATATGTGGAACCTAAAATACGACACAAATGAATATATCTGTGAAACAGAAACAGACTCAGAGACACAGAGAACAGACTGTGGCTGCCAAGGGGGAAGGAGGGTGGGGGAGGGATGGATTGGGAGTTTGGGATGAGCAGATGCAAACTATTATATATAGAGAATGGATAAACAACAAGGTCCTACTGTATAGCACAGGGAACTATATTCAATATCCTGTGATAAACCATAGTGGAAAAGAATATATTAAAAAAGACTGTATGTATATGTATAACTGAATCACTTTGCTGTACAGCAGAAGTTAACACGACATTGTAAAGCAATTATACTTCAATAAAATTTTTTTAAATGAGAACAAACAAATAACACTTACCCTGTTTATAAATATGAAGGATATACCCACCACATCCTCCTACCTAAAGAGTGGCTTTACAGGTGATTTTGATTTTTCTTGCCTGTACTTTCTGATTTTTTTTTGATGAACATGTATTTCTCATGAAATAAAAAGTCAGTATAAAAGAAATTTGAAGTAAGCAGGCCTTAAAAGGAAGACAAGAGGATTCCAGATAACCAACGAGGTCCTACGGTAGCACAGGGAACTCTACTCAATCTTCTGTAATGACAGACATGAAAAGAATTCGAAAAAGAATAGATACATGTCTAAGTATAATTGAATCACTTCGGCGTACACCTGAAACTAACACAACATTGTCAATTAACTATACTCCAACCGAAAATAAAAATTAAAGGGACTTCCCTGGTGGTCCAGTGGTTAGGACTCCGCGCTCTCACTGCCAGGTGCCCAGGTTCAATTCCTGGGATCCCAGGGAACTATGATCCCGCAAGCTGCGTGGTGGGACCATAGGTAGATAGATAATAAAAATTTTTTGAAAAGAGGATTCCAGAAACACAGTGTGAGTACTCTTGAGCTCTGCTTGGTAAGCAAAGGTCTCTACAAAACATGTTCTCTATACAAATAAGCTATAACCATCCAGAAAACAAGGCTGCTTGTTGGTGGAGAAAGAGAATGCAGAGTCCAGCTATTAATGGTATCAAAATTCGTATTCTGAAGAGAATTCTGGACTGCTTCTTGCCCAAAACAAAACTAAAATGAAGAATAAAAATTCAATAAACTTTCCCTAGACAACTTTACACATGGAACCTCTTTCAAGTCCCATTTCAGGTTTCATTTTTTAAAAATAGAACCTTGCTTTGCCTTTTTTCAACGCATTCTTTTCTACTCAAACCTAGTGTTTTGGCTCTAAAACTCAATCCCATGGACAATGGAAGAGAGCCCAGGCCCAGAGGTTTTTATCAGTTGGATCAGGAAACTGCTCCGTTTTGTTCTTTTCTAAATACTGGAGGACTATGGTTAAACCAAAGTAACAAAAAACCCAAAAACCAAAACCCAGAAAAACCCACTCCACCAAATGCAAACATAAACGTCCCTTTGCTGCAGTTTTGTTTATATTGTGCTTTTACTTACTATCTGCAAAGCACCATGATATTGAAAGTGTTGTCTCAGGGATAAAACGCAATTTAACTCAAGTTGTTAGACACCGAGACAAACCAGGATGCTCTGGGCGTCGGTCGTCAGGAGCCAAGTGGTGGCTTTTGCTTCCCACCAGAGAGGCACCGCCTCCCTAGGTGAAGCATTCGGTGCCAGGGAGCCCTGAGAACTGACAGACCCAGGCCCTGGTGTGCACCCAAATGGGAAAGCGAGTCCTTTTGCACCATGGCTTTTGGTAGGGGAACCATGGCTGAACAATGGCGATCGTAGCTAAAGTGGATGGTAACACGACCCTGGGGAGTCCTTGCCAGGGAAAGTGCCCCCCAACCCGACAAGGGGAGAGAGTACACGGCTGTCTTTTTTCATGAATCTTTTAAGCTTACGGGGCACTGGCTGACCTGCTGGAGGCTGGTGTCTGGGTGGGAGTGTATGGGAAGTGGGCCAGAAGAAAGAGGACAGACACAGCACTAGCTGTTCGGATAAGCACAGATGATGAGAGGGGATTCTTTCTTTTTTTTTTTTTAATTTATTTATTTTTGGCTGCGTTGGGTCTTTGTTGCTGCATGTGGACTTTCTCTAGCTGTGGGGAGTGGGGGCCACCCCTCGTTGCGGTGCACGGGCCTCTCATTGCGGTGGCTTCTCTTGTTGCGGAGCATGGGCTCTAGGTGTGCGGGCTTCAGTAGTTGTGGCTCGCGGGCTCAGAAGTTGTGGTACGTGGGCTCAGTAGTTGTGGCACATGGGCTTAGCTGCTCCGCGGCATGTGGGATCCTCCCGGACCAGGGCTCAAATCTGTGTCCCCCGCATTGGCAGGCGGACTCCCGACCACTGCGCCACCAGGGAAGTCCCGAGAGAGGGGATTCTGAAGGCAAAGACTGGAGCTGATTGTCTCTTTGTTTTTACTTACAAAAATACAGCACAACACAAGGAATACATGTGAACCTGTACTGTTACTTAATGGGGGTTAAGCTTTCGATTCTGTGATTGTCTTATTTGACTTACTGTTTCTTACTAGAAACCCTCAGGTGTCACAGGAAAACAAATTTCAAAGGAAGAAATTTTGAAAAAAAAAAAAGATGCTTTTTCCTACATCCTACTTACTCTTTGAAGTTGGACAAAGAGGGAGGTGGCTCTTGATCAAGTTGGGATCAAACGGCACCTTAAAGTCACTAAGCTGGATATTGTGAACAGTGCTGCTATGAACATAGGGGAGAAAACTTTATCTATAGGATGGATAAACAACAAGGTCCTACTGTATAGCATGGGGAACTATATTCAATATCCTGTGATAAACCATCGTGGAAAAGAACATTTTAAAAAGTCAAAAACTGAGTCACTTCGCTGTACAGTAGTAATTCACACAACATTGTAAATCAACTAGACTTCAATAAAAAAAAAGTCACCAAGCTGGGAGCCAGTACAGCATTTCAAGGGCAAAACTTGGTGCTTAGATATTTAACACAGGGACAATGGGAACGTTGAAAAGAAGATGTAACACGACTTTGTCTTTTCAGTGTTCCTCTGAGTCATTACTTTACGTCTTTTTCTACCTACAAAGATGGATTTTCATGTGTCAAAGCTATCTCCTTGTTTGACTTGGGCACAAGCTCTTTGTGGCAACCCCCAGACCTGTCAGTGTCATGATGATTCATGTGAGGTGTCCAGGAGGGCTGGCGGTCCACCTTGGGAAGAACGGACCTGCCGGATCAGATGTGTTGGTTTGGTTCAACGTGGTACATACTTATTAAGCCACTACTAGGGGCCAAGGCTGACCGTGGAGAGAAACTTAAAAGATTAGTAATATACTTCTCAGTGTAGACAAAGGAAGGAAAGGCTAGTTTGGGATAGAAGAGTTGGGCAAGATTTTACAGATTTCAGCTGGTCCCTGAAGGGTGACTAGGGTCCCAGCTGGCAGAGGGAGCGAATGCCCTGAGATGCCTTTGGGGTGTGGTCAGAAGCCTTGCAGGTTCCTGGGATTCCTGGTGAGAGGTAAGGCAGCAGAGATTAGGATGTAGTACACTTTATGTATCTCAAGTCTTTGGGGCAAGGTACAAAGTAGGCTCACCTCCGCAGGGGACCTCTGTGCTCCTGAGGTCGTGACTAAGGTAGGATCCAGGACCTGGCTGGCTGAGTTAAGGAAGGAAGGGGTAGATGTTCACCAAGCAGGGGCAGGATGCTGCCAGGACCTGAGAGCCTGGATCCCTTCCTCCCTGAGACCCAGCATCGTTTCTTTCCTCGGGCTCCATGAGACACTTGTACCCTGGAATAACTTTCTCTTAGCTTTAGCTAGTTTGAGTTGGGGATCATATATTCCTGATCAGTCCAGTATCATTGTTTTCTCTCATTAATCAACAATTAAATCCAAGTTCTGATGCCTTTTCATTTCTTTTTTTTTTTTTTCTGTTTAATCACATTTCAAATATATTCACCCGGCTAGAGAATCGCGTTGACCACTCATGGCCTTGGGCCATGGGAATGCAGAGTAACAAACAGCCCCAATATGGGAAGGGTGGGCAGTACATAGAGAGCGCTCAACTTTGGGGGTCACACAGAGCCAGGGATCCTTTCTGAAAAGTGTGCTTGGGTAGGGCTCCATAATGTGGGACATATCCTGGGACTCTAACAAAAAATACTTCGTTGCATTAAGAATTGTCCTGTCTTCTAACATACACACACTACTATATATAAAACAGATAACCAACAAGGACCTACTGTAGTACAGGGAACTCTACTCGATACCCTGTAATAACCTATATGGGAAAAGAATCTGAAAAAGAACATATACATGTATATGTATAATTGAATCACTTTGCTGTACACCTGAAATTAACACAACATTGTAAATCAACTATACTCCAATGTAAAAATTTAAAAAAAATTTTAATGGGAATTCCCTGATGGTGCAGTGGTTAAGAATCCGTCTGCCAATGCAGGGGACACAGGTTCAAGCCCTGGTCCGGGAAGATCCCACGGAACAACTAAGCCTACGCACCACAACTACTGAGCCTGCACTCTAGAGCCCGCGAGCCACAACTACTGAGCCCGCGTGCCTTAACTACTGAAGCCCGCATGCCTAGAGCCCGTGCTCCACAGCAAGAAAAGCCACCGCAATGAAGAGTAGCCCCAACTAGAGAAAGCCCGCGCGCAGCAATGAAGACCCAACACAGCCAAAAATAAATAAATAAATAATAAATAAATAAAAAAAAAATTTTAATGAAAAAAATAAAGTCAACTGATTAGAAACCTTAAAAAAATAACATTAAAAAAATACAGGGCTGCCCTGGTGGTGCAGTGGTTGAGAGTCCACCTGCCGATGCAGGGGACACAGGTTCGTGCCCCGGTCTGGGAAGATCCCACATGCCGCGGAGCGGCTGGGCCCGTGGACCATGGCCGCTGAGCCTGCGCGTATAAAAATTTGTTCCATAAAAAAGAAAGGATTGTCTTCTAAACTGCCCCGACTTGTTCCTCCCCATTCCCCAGGGATTCTCAACAAAGGCTGAGTCTCAAGGACCCTTGAGACAAAGGCCTATTCACCAATGCAGTGGGAAAGGCAGCAATCTAGGCATCTGCATGAGTGAAGAAAATAATTGTTTGTGTGAATTTTTAACCTTTCAAATCTGTTTGTGTTGCCATGCAGACACAATCTCACTGGTGCCCCTTAGTTCTCAGACTTGAAGAACTGAAGAAGATGTTTTTGTATCTTCTTATCTCTGCTATTGTAGATTTCAACATGGGTCATTTTCAATTTGATCTCATTAACTTATAGCCGTGAATTTTTTAAAAAAATTCTTAAGTGATCATAGCATTCAATATTTTTCTCTCGTTTATTCTCTACGGTTTCATTATTTGTCAAGACCAAACTCTTGTTTCTTATTCGTCAGTTCCTGTAGCATTTCCTAAGACCTTGACTGTTCATGGGCTTTTATTTTCTGTCTTCTTCTCTTACCCTCAGCAACATGCTTTTGAGAACACACTTTATCGAGAATGCACCTCACAATGCCAAGATACAACTCCAAAAGTACTATGTAAGATCACCATAGGTTTAGTCCAAACTTTTCCCCAAGGCTGATGGTCAAAGAAGTATCCTTACTTAGACCCGGCCAAACATTACCCAGCACTTTCCCTGAAAGGCAATTAATGAAACAAAAGGAACTTGCATCTTCAAATGACACAGAAGAGCTTGGATGAGATCCTGATGACCCAGCTCCGCCTGATTCTGGTCCAGGCACCAGATCCCAGGTCCCTGCATTACTCCTGAGTTTGTGATCCCTATAAGTACTTCTCTAATTCTTCTAAGCAGATGTCCAGGTTATCATCTGTAGGTCCAGGTATCACTGAAGAGCGAGAACTAGCCTGTCCATACCCGACAGTGTACAATACAAGCTTTGTCAAGGGCTTTTTTTCAGGAGCGCTCACATTTGTGGCCTTGTGCCCAGACTGCTTCTGCCTAAATGAGCTATTATTGCCAAATAAACTTTTAGTCTTAGAGGCTTAGCCTCTCCCAGACGCTCAGTATATTGGCCTTGTTTCCTGCAGTTACTTCCCAGCCCTTAGCCTTACATCACGAATCCTCACGGAGATTTTTTTCCCTTCTCCTTTTTGTGGTCAAACAATCCAGCTTTTCTATGTGAGTGGTTTTCAATCACATATTTACTTCTGCTCATCGCTTCGTACATGCAGGGTTGTCTCCCCAGATACAGTCTAAATTGCCTGTGGGAAGGGATCCTGGGTGTGTTGTTTATAGCTCTCTGTCACATCTTGCGTGGGTACATCTGACGGCCAGTTAAGGGGAGACATCTTTCCAGTGGAAGAAAATATTGGATAGACAAAGAAATAAAGAAAACCTTTCTAACAGCTGAAGAACAGAGATAGCTAGAAAGGGAAATTAAGGACAGGGGAGGCAATAAAAAGAGAAAAGAAAAGAGAAAAATGCACCTTTATTCCTTGGACCACTAGAATTCTTCCTCATCTGAGAGTTAATCTAGTAGATGCTCTGTCATAATAAACAAAATGTTCAAGCTTCCTATATTTTATAGTCCGTTTCTAAGGCATTTTAATGTTTAATCCCACTGTAATTTCTATGTGATGTTGATTGTAAAGGTCCCCATTTCACTATTCACTACAGCAGGAAACTCAGTTTTGTTCTTGAATAAGAATCAAATCGGGGCTTCCCTGGTGGTGCATTGGTTAAGAATCTGCCTGCCAATGCAGGGGACATGGGTTCAATCCCTGGTCCGGGAAGATCCCACATGCCATGGAGCAACTAAGCCCGTGCGCCACAACTACTGAGCCTGCCTTCCAGAACCCACATGCCACAACTACTGAAGCCCATGTGCCTATACCCCGTGCTCTGCAACAAGAGAAGCCACCGCAATGAGAAGCCCACGGACCGCAGTGAAGACCCAACACAGCCAAAAATAAATAAATAAAATAAATTTATTAAAAAAAAAGAATCATTCTTATTTAACACACATATCTTGGTAGCACAGTATGAAGGCATATATTGGATAGTCTCTCAATATATCTCATTCCTATAACATGTTTAATTAAAGCAATGCAGGTATAGAAAGTACTTTCTAGTATCATAAAATAAAAGATGATAAACCATAATGGAAAATAATATAAAAAAGAATGTCTACATGTGTCTAACTGAGTCACTTTGCTGTACAGCAGAAATTAACACAATATTGTAAATCAACTATACTTCAGTAAAAAAAATTTTTAAAGGTAAGCATTAAAGGCCTAGTTGTTATTAAATTCAATTTTGTATTCTTTTTTGCAGTAGGGATTTCTCATAATTGTGGTTATATATAACATATAACTATAGCTAATACAATAGCTCTTTACTTTGACCTATGTATAAAGTGTTGCCTATAGTTCCAAATAGTCACATGCTAAAAATGCAAAGTGTCCAAAAAATGCCATGTCATTTCTAAAATCAGTACGGTAACTCGGAGACAATTGAAATCGATCTCTTACATGTCACATCCCAGGCAGGTAAGAGCATGGGCACATTTCTCATAAAGATGCATTGAAACACAGAGCTGCCTTTCCTTTCATATCCATTTTAAAGCACCTATTCAGAATCCAGCTCCGTGCTCTGGATCAGAGTCAGTTTTTGTCACCGATATGGGTGAAAGTCCCATCACTATTTATCCAGGATGTTTGACAAGTGAACCACATCCAAGAAAGTGCTGGCAGAAATCAAAGATTATTTGGAGCACCCTGGAAGAAAGCTAAAGACTTGGATGTAATTTTTAACCAGAAGAAAATTCCTCTTCACTAAACATTCCAAGTTCTTACCTTATTATTTATCAATATAGTCAGAGAAAGATCTTTTCACCTATTTAATTTCATTCAACTTTCCATTTTTTAAGTTCAGAGAATGTCTATTTCTATTATGTGTGTGGATATCAAGGGCACCCACTGAAGACATGCAAGAAAAACAACTAAGGATTTAAAATTATGGAGCTGAGGTTATCGCTGATTCAATGTTAATTAAGTACCTTTTTTTTATTTTTTCTTTACCAACACAAAGATGATAAACAGTGGTTCTAGCCCCAGGTCCAGAGGTGAAGGAAGGGAGTTGATCAGACAACTCTGCTAGGACGTTTGTCTGCAAATAGGAAGGTTATTTTTATCAACAATTACAGACGCCAGAGCATATATTTTGACTGTATTTTCTGGGTGTGTAGGTGTGAAATCGAGCAGGACACTGTGGGGGCCCTCCCGGGTACAAAAGCCCCTCTGTGTCCCCCATTTCTTGTTTGTAGAAAAAGGCTTTAGTCTCCTAGGCCTTCCCTGAGTTCCAAAGAACAGACTTAAGCAGTTACTAATTAGGGAAGTGAGGGATTGCAGAAACAAAGGAAAAGCAGGTGAGCAAAAAAAGTAATGATACCTAAAACAGAGTTCCTCCTCAAGAGATATATATATCAGTCTTATGCATCTCTCTGAGTTGTTCTTCAGAAACTAAGACTCCCACCCATGTGGAGGGTGCTGACTACATGCTGACAACAAGCACACAGACCCCAGACTGGTTGGAACCAGAAGGTTGATGGTTAAGATTCCTGAAACATTGCCCTGTTACCTCACCACCAGCCAATCAGAAGAAAGTCAACAAGCTGCAACCCTCACCCCAAATGCTGCCTTTAAAAACCCTTCCCCAGGGACTTCACTGGTGGCGCAATGGTTAAGAATCCATCTGCCAATGCAGGGTACATGGGTTCAATCCCTGGTCTGGGAAAACCCCCATGCTGCAGAGCAACTAAGCCCGTGCACCACAACTACTGAGCCTGTGCTCTAGAGTCTGCGAGCCACAACTACTGAGCCCGCAAGCCACAACTACTGAAGCCTGCGTGCCTAGAGCCCGTGCTCCCCAAAAAGAGAAACCACCGCAATGAGAAGCCCACGCACCACAACAAAGAGTAGCCCCTGCTTGCTGCAACTAGAGAAAGCCTGTGCACAGCAACGAAGACCCAATGCAACCAAAAAAAAACCAAAAACCAAAAAACCCTTCCCTGAAAGCCATTGGGGATTTTGGGTCTTTTAAGCATTAGCTGCCCATTCTCCTTGCTTGGTGCCCTGCAATAAACGCTGCACTTTCCTTCACCACAACCCAGTGTCAGTAGATTGGCTTTGCCAGGCAGCAGGTGAGTGGACCCCAGTTCGGTTCAGTAACAGACAGTCTGGGTAGAGCTATTTTCCTCTTTTGCTCAGTTCCCACTGTCATCCAATATGTAATATGTGGTCCAGAACACAGTCTTGTCTGTGACTCTAACAAGGATCCAACTCATGACCTTGACCTCCTGGACACAAGGGTCTAGAGCTGTGCTGATCCATACTGCAGTCACTAACCACTTGTGGTTATTTACACTTCAGTTAAATTTAAAACTTCAGTTTCCAATATCACGTTTCAAGTGCCCCACAGGAAAATATGATTATGGCTCACGGCTACCGTATTGAACAGTGCAGATACAGAAGATTTCCACCATCACAGGAAGTTCTGTTGGACTGTGCTAGCTAGACCCTGGGGACTCAAAGTCTGTGAAGCAGCAGCAGTGGCATCACCCAGGGGCTTGTTAGAAATGCAGAGTCTCAGTTACCCCCAAATCTACTGAGTCATAATCTGCAGTTTACAAAGACTGCCAGGTGAGTTATGCACCATTCAAGTGTGAGATGCATTGCTCTAGAGGATGAAGGAAGTACTGCCTCGGGTTTAGAACAAGGAGAGAACTGTATCCAGGTTGGGTTTACCAGGTGCAGGGTCACTTCCTGCAGCAAGATGTGTTACTGTGGCTTATTAACACCAGGAAGAACGTAAGGTTACTTCCAGCCATAATTTAACAATCAACGTCCCTACCAATTGCTGGTGTTGACCCCTGCCTTCCTTCCTCTTGATCCCCTCAAAAGAGCCAAACATTGATTAATCCCTTACTCTGAGCTGTACCTTGTTCTAGGTGCCTCATACGATTGATTCATTAACCCTCACACACAACCCAATAGGTGGCTGATGTTATGAACCTCATTATACAAATGAGGATTTTCGAGATGCAGAGAATGGAAGTAAGCTGAGGTCACCATGGCCAAGCCAAGGTTCCATGGAACTCACACAAGAGGGTCTCTCCAGGCTGCTGGCAGTTCCTGGAAAACCACAAATTTGGGGGTTCTTACCAGGTGCTCTGAGCTCCAAAGCCAAAGGGGCGGAAAGGGTTACTTGTCTGTCCTGTGCCTCTCTTGGTTCCTGTCTGTCCTGTGCCTTGGTTCCTGTCTGTCCTTGGTTCCTTGTCTGTCCTGTGCCTCTCTTATCTCCCTGAGAGGCTCCGCAGTTCAGATTTGCTGTCACCTGCTTTAAGGTGATGGCTGGCAAAACCCCACATTTCCTTCCTGTTTGTCTAGCTTAGCACATCCTAATGCTCAACTCTCTTTCCCCAAATTCCCAGGAAGAACGCAGGAAAGATGGAGAGCTGCATTTAAACTCCTGCCAAGATCCTAACGCAACCTGTCCACCGGGGGACGCAGGCCCCGCCTAGAATCAGCTGTTTCCTGCCCTGCCTAATGGCTCAGGGTGAGTCATCGCTCTCCCCAGCCCCACTAGGGCGTGGCTCCTCTGATCCCTTACCAGTAAGGGATCAGTAAGGCCGCCCAGTAAGGCTGGAGAGCCAGCTATTTCTCCTTGGCCTCTCATGAATTTTAAATGACTGCACTTAAAGCCCCAAAGTGCCCACAGACCTGAAATTAACTCTGTCGGCCTTTGGCAGACACCAAACAACCTGCATGCATTAAAGCCCAATGAGGGGTGACTGGGGGCTTGCCAGGGCCTTGCCTCTCACATGGCTAAAGAGGGACCTGCCTCAGCAACAGCCTTGTGTGGTTATTCACAGTGTCAAGTTTTGTGGAACCAATAGGACACACCACCCAGGACCTTAGTTTCCTCCCCTCCTGTACTCTGCCTGGCTTGCTTTCAGTAGGAAATGGTATGTTCTGGAAGGACAGAGATTGTGTCTCTGTACCCCGTGGGTATCCAGCAGAGGGCCCTGCATGCAGTGGGCGCTCAATAGATGTTTATTAAGAGAAGCAATGCAAATGAATGGGGATTCCAATGATTGCTGTTACTACTCTATAGCCAATAGGAGCAGCACGACAGCCTGTAGCCCTCCAGGAGCCTTCTGCAATAAGCAAAGTACTCTATAAAATTTCAGGCGATAAATGCACATACTAGTCTTAGCTGATAACCGGGAAGGCTGGTGTTAAGTGAGGTTATGATGTGGCTACCATCGAACCTGGCAGAATAAAATTCAGTCTTTTTTGTTTGTACCTTGAACCTCTATAGTCCAGGAAGAACTGAGATCTAAGAGGAAAAAGGGTCACAGTCACTGCAGCCAAGTGATTTATGTCCGTCTGAGGGTGACCTGAGACAAGACCACTGGATTTGCTAACAAAAAGGGTACAAATGAACTTATCTACAAAACAGAAATAGAGTCACAGATGTAGAAAACAATCTTATGGTTACCAGGGGATAAGGGCGAGGGGATAAATTGGGAGATTGGGATTGACATATACACACTACTATATATAAAATAGATAACTAATAAGGACCTACTGTATAGTACGGGGACCTCTACTCAATATTCTTTGATGACCTATATGGGAAAAGAATCTGAAAAAGAGTGGATATATGCATATGTATAACTGATTCACTTCGCTGTACACCTGAAACTAACAACACTGTAAATCAACTATACTCCAATAAAAAAAAAAGAACGTTGGATTTGCTCTGTGGCTGCAGTATGTTTCAGGGGCAGAAACAAAGCCAAGGGGCAAGGCCTCCAGAGTTGGTGTGAACTGCTGCATTTTTCAGCCTGGAAGGGAAGAAGGGTGAGAGGTCGGGGTGGAGTAAACCAGTGAGATTCCGACGCCACCTTTGGAGGGCACAGGCCAGGGCTGGGCCCCGTGGCATCCGTCTCTGCCCCAACACGCTCTAGAGCACCAGTGAATGGACCCTGACGATAGCACTTATCTGAAATATTTGCCAACAACTTCACCCTCATTGGAAACTGAGAGGAAATGCTCTAGGGAGGAGGCGATTACATCATGCTGGCTTCTGCCCTCCTCCTGGCTCTGAGGGCTGCGCCCTGTATTGTCACCCTGCGTTCTGCCAACACCCATGTTTTGCTTTTCCCTTCAAGCTGGTGAGATGGGTTAAATGGATTCTTTTATGTCCAGAGAGGAGTCTGATACTTAAAGGACCTCACTAAAGAGAAAGCGTTTTTTGAGAGTCATTGAGTTTAATGGGTCTTTATGTAAAGATGGACTTTCCAAAATCCCTCCTGAAGAAGGCCATTTGCACCACTGTCTTGAATATTTGTGTCCTCAATACAGCCTCTGAGGAACTGACTGTGGATGAGGTCAGTGGGTGACAGAGACCGCAGGGGACTTTCCACTGTAGGGAGGATGCAGGTCTTTGCATGATGGCTTACAGATGACTTGGACCTTTTATTTTATCTTACTTATTAAAAGTACTAAAAGTAACATGGTTAATCATTAAAGAAATGTAAATCAAAACTACAATGAGGTATCACCTCACACCGGTCAGAATGGCCATCATCAAAAAATCTACAAACAATAAATGCTGGAGAAGGTGTGGAGAAAAGGGAACCCTCTTGCACTCTTGGTGGGAATGTAAATTGGTACAACCACTATGGAGAACAGTATGGAGGGCCCTTAAGAAAACTAAAAATAAAGCTACCATGTGATCCAGCAATCCCACTCCTGGGCATATATCCTGAAAAGACAAAAACTCTAATATGAATATTATATCACTTATATGCGGAATCTAAAAAAAATCATACAAATAACTTATTTAAAAAATAGAAATAGACTCACAGACATAGAAAACAAACTTATGGTTGGTTACCAAATGGGAAAGGGGAGGGGAAGGATAAATTAGGAGTTTGGGATTAACAGACACACACTACCATATATAAAATAGATAAACAACAAGGACCTACTGTATAGCACAGGGAACTCTACTCAATATCTTGTAATAACCTATAATGGAAAAGAATCTGAAAAAGAATATATATATATATATATATATATATATATATATATATATATAAATATATATAACTGAATCACTGTTCTGTATACCTGAAACTAACACAACATTGTAAATCAACTATACTTTTAAAAAAGAAGTACTAAGAGTGTAAATTGTGATGATGATGTAGCAGTAACCATCATACATGGCACTTTATTTTTTCAAAGTCCTGAGGTATTATAGCATTCCTCTCCTTCTTTAACCCCAAGAAGAATCAGCCCCGTCTTATGTGTCCTAAGAGGACATATCTCTAGCTGGGAAGAAGGAGCGAGGGCACTGAAGTTAAATGAGGTCCTGAGTTTGCATCCTGACTGTCACTGAGCAGTTGTGGGGCCCTGAGCAAAATATTTCATCCTCTGAGCCTTGGTTTAATTATTCGTAAAGATAATCATAAAATTTATCTGAAAGAGTCATCCTGAGGACTATATGAGATCTCAAGTGAGAAGTTAAGCTTTCAGCAAATACTTGATGGGAGAATTAACTACACTGTCATAATTCATGGGCCACATGCCTCAACAGCAGTGTAACCTTCCTGTCAGTGATGGAACAGATCTCACTCATCTGTGTACACCCGGCACCCAGCCAGAGCCCCACCCATTACAGTGCTGAGTAAATGTTACTGAATAAATGAATGAATGAGTCGTGTAGCTCATGTTGCTTCTAGGACCACTGGGCTGACCAGTGTTGTCAAGAGCTCTGCTGGGCTGGAGGGGCTCTTCCCTGGCGGTCCAGTGGTTAGGATTCCAGGCTTCCACTGCAGCGAGCTCGGGGTCCATCCCTGGTCGGGGAGCTAAGGTCCCGCATGAGAGAGCTCTGCTGAGCTGGAGAGGGAGTAACCGATTAGGACTGAAAGTAACAGTGAAAGTCAGAGTCAAGGCTTTGATTAATCACTGCCATAGTAGAAGCAGGAGGCTGGGTTGGAGAGTGAGCTGGGGCTGCCTGTTCCATCTCCCCCTGAACAGCACCAAGCAAGGGTCAAGAGTAGCAGCACAGGGCTTCCCTGGTGGCGCGGTGGTTGAGAGTCCGCCTGCCGATGCAGGGGACGCGGGTTCGTGCCCCGGTCCGGGAAGATCCCATATGCCGCGGAGCGGCTGGGCCCATGAGCCATGGCCGCTGAGCCTGCGCGTCCGGAGCCTGTGCTCCGCAAAGGGAGAGGCCACAACAGTGAGAGGCCCGCGTACCGCAAAAATAAATAAATAAATAAAAATAAAAAAGCGCAGAGTGTGAGGACCCATCCTGCCCCTCCTCCTCATGCACGCACTACCACCTGGTAACCACTCCCTTGGTCAGTAGGTCTGGGGACCCTGGGGACAGGCTGTTGCCAAGCCCAGTGTACACGTTCATGAGTGTAGCTCAAAGTTCATTTTAAGCTTGTGGGTTAGGAAGGCACTGGGACTCTTTCTCTGATGTCAGGACGCTTTGTGATGGTATCTTTATCCCTTCTGTCTGTGTGATCTCAGTGGAAAGCTTTCAGGTCCAAGAACTAGGGTTGCCAGGTAAAATACAGCCTACCCTGTTAAACTGCAATTTCAGATTAAAGAACAAGTAATTTTTTAGTATGCCCCAAATACTGCATGGGACATACTTATACTAAAAACTAATAGATATTTTAAAGTCTGCCAACCCTATAAGTGGCAGACATTAAAAATTAGAGTTTTCCAGAGCAAGCAGCACTGACCAGGAAAGTATGAAGTGGTGAGGTAGATTTGATCTGGCCTCCCTTTTCTGGGACCAGTGCCCTTTTGATACCAAATCTGGTATCAGGAAAGGACCTCATATCAGGTATTCACACTTCAGTGGGAATTGTCAGCAGGCGTGTCTGCCTCTTCAATGTTCTAATGTGGAGCGAAGGACACTGCCTCCTGTTAAAAGTCAAGTGAGGCATCACTGAGCAGGGGGTGATAGATCTTCGGTCTGAGTTCCTTCCCAAGGCAGGAGGTAGGGGGAAGACGTGGACTTTCAGAGTCAGATGGTCTTCAGATCCTGGCCTGTTGCTTCCTGCTTTACGATTTGCAGTCAGTGACTTCTCAGTGCATTTATTCTCACCTATAGTACATTTACCTTCAGGGTTGTCGTGAGGATTGATTGAGTCTATACATGTGGAGTATCTGGCACATAGTAGATGCTCAGTAAATATTATTT